CTGAGAACATGGGGTCTTGTAAATATACAATCATGTCGTCTGCAAATAGAAACAATTTGACTTCCTCCTTTCCTATTTGAATACGCTTTATTTCTTTTTCTTGCCTGATTGCTCTGGCTAGAACTTCCAATACTATATTGAATAGGAGTGGTGAGAGAGGGCAACCTTGTCTAGTGCCAGATTTCAAAGGGAATGCTTCCAGCTTTTGCCCATTCAGTATGATATTGGCTGTTGGTTTGTCGTAAATAGCTTTTATTATTTTGAGATACGTTTCATCAATACCTAGTTTATTGAGGGTTTTTAACATAAAGGGCTGTTGAATTTTGTCAAAGGCCTTCTCTGCATCAGTTGAGATAATCATGTGGTTTTTGTCTTTGGTTCTGTTTATGTGGTGAATTATGTTTATAGACTTGCATATGTTGAACCAGCCTTGCATCCCCTGTATGAAGCCTACTTGATCATGGTGGAAAAACTTTTTGATGTGCTGTTGCAATCGGTTTGCCAGTATTTTATTGAAGATTTTTGCATCTATGTTCATCATGGATATTGGCCTGAAGTTTTCTTTTCTTGCTAAGTCTCTGCCAGATTTTGGTATCAGGATGATGTTGGTCTCATAAAATGATTTGGGAAGGATTCCCTTTTTTTGGATTGTTTGGAATAGTTTCAGAAGGAATGGTACCAGCTCCTCTTTGTATGTCTTGTAAAATTCAGCTGCGAACCCATCTGGATCTGGGCTTTTTTTGGGTGGTAGGCTTTTAATTGCTGTCTCAACTTCAGACCTTGTTATTGGTCTATTCAGGGTTTCGACTTCTTCCTGGTTTAGGCTTGGGAGGATGCAAGTGTCCAGGAATTTATCCATTTCTTCCAGGTTTACTAGTTTATGTGCATAGAGTTGTTTGTAATAATCTCTGATGATGGTTTGTATTTCTGTGGAATCTGTGGTGATATCCCCTTTATCGTTTTTTATTGCATCTATTTGATTATTCTCTCTTTTCTTTTTTATTAATCTGGCTAGTGGTCTGTCTATTTTGTTGATCTTTTTGAAAAACCAACTCCTGGATTTATTGATTTTTTGAAGGGTTTTTTTGTGTCTCTATCTCCTTTAGTTCTGCTCTAATCTTAGTTATTTCTTGTCTTCTGCTAGGTTTTGAGTTTTTTTTTTTATCTTGCTCCTCTAACTCTTTCAATTTTGATGATAGGGTGTCAATTTTAGATCTCTCCTTGCTTCTCATGTGGGCATTTATTGCTATATATTTTCCTCTAGACACTGCTTTAAATGTGTCCCAGAGATTCTGGTACATTGCATCTTCATTCTCGTTGGTTTCGAAGAACATCTTTATTTCTGCCTTCATTTCATCATTTATCCAGTCAACATTCAAGAGCGAGTTGTTCAGTTTCCATGAAGCTGTGAGGTTCTGAGTTCATTTCTGAATTCTGAGTTCTAACTTCATTACACTGTGGTCTGAGAGACTATTTGTTATGATTTCCATTCTTTTGCATTTGCTGAGGAGTGATTTACTTCCAATTATGTGGTCAATTTTAGAGCAGGTGTGATGTGGTGCTGAGAAGAATGTATATTCTGTGGATTTCGGGTGGAGAGTGTTGTAAATGTCTATTAGGTTTGCTTGGTCCAGGTCTGAATTCAAGTCCAGGATATCCTTGTTAGTTTTCTGTCTTGTTGATCTGTCTAATATTGACAATGGGGTGTTAAAGTCTCCCACTACTATTGTGTAGGAGTCTAAGTCTCTTTGTAAGTCATTAAGAACTTGCTTTATGTATCTGGGTGCTCCTGTGTTGGGTGTATATATATTTAGGATGGTTGGCTCTTCTTGTTGCATTGATCCTTTTACGATTATGTAATGTCCTTCTTTGTCTCTTTTGATCTTTGTTGGTTTGAAGTCTATTTTATCAGGGACAAGAATTGCAACTCCTGCTTTTTTTTTGCTCTCCATTTGCTTGGTAAATCTTCCTTTATCCCTTTATTTTGAGCCTATGTGTATCCTTGCATGTGAGATGCATTTCCTGGATACAGCACACAGATGGGTTTTGGCTTTTTATCCAATTTGCCAGTCTGTGTCTTTTGATTGGGCATTAGCCCATTTACATTTAGGGTTAATATTGTTATGTGTGAATTTGATCCTGCCATTTTGATGCTAGTGGGCTGTTTTGCCCATTAGTTCATGCAGTTTCTTCATTGTGTCAATGCTCTTTACCATTTGGTATGTTTTTGGAGTGGCTGGTACTGGTTGTTTCTTTCTATGTTTAGTGCCTCTTTCAGGAGCTCTTGTAAAGCAGGCCTGGTGGTGATGAAATCTCTGAGTACTTGCTTGTTCGTAAAGGATTTTATTTTTCCTTCACTTATGAAGCTTAGTTTGGCTGGATATGAAATTCTGGGTTGAAAGTTCTTTTCTTTAAAGATGTTGAATATTGGCCCCCACTCTCTTCTGGCTTGTAGGGTTTCTGCTGAGAGATCTGCTGTGAGTCTGATGGGCTTCCCTTTGTGCGTAACCCGACCTTTCTCTCTGGCTGCCCTTAGTATTTTCTCCTTCATTTCAACACTGGTGACTCTGACAATTATGTACCTTGGGGTTGCTCTTCTTGAGGAATATCTTTGTGGTGTTCTCTGTATTTCCTGGACTTGAATATTGGCCTCCCTTGCTAGGTTGGGGAAGTTTTCCTGGATAATATCCTGAAGAGTATTGTCCAGCTTGGATTCATTCTCTCCATCACATTCAGATACACCTATCAAACGTAGATTAGGTCGTTTCACATAGTCCCATATTTCTTGGAGACTTTGTTCATTCCTTGTTACCCTTTTTTCTCTAATCTTGCCTTCTCATTTTATTTCATTGAGTTGATCTTCAACCTCTAATATCCTTTCTTCTGCTTGGTCAATTAGGCTGTTGAAACTTGTGCATGCTTCTCGAAGTTCTAGTGTTGTGTTTTTCAGCTCCGTCAATTCACTTATATTCCTCTCTAAGTTGTTTATTCTCATTAGCATTTTGTCAAATCTTTTTTCAAGGTTCTTAGTTTCTTTGCATTGGGTTAGAACATGTTCTTTTAGCTCAGAGGAGTTTCTTATTACCCACATTCTGAAGCCCGATTCTGTCAATTCATCACACTCATTCTCTATCCAGCCTTGTTCCCTTGCTGGTGAGAAGTTGTGATCCCTTGTAGGAGGAGAGGCATTCTAGTTTTGGGTGTTTTCATTCTTTTTGCACCGGTTTCTTCCCATCTTTTTGGATTTATCCACCTGTTGTCTTTGTAGTTGTTGACTCTCAGATTGGGTCTCTGAGTGGACATCCAGTTTGTTGATGATGAAGTTTTTTTTTTAATTAAAAATAATATATACCTTGTGATCTACCCACCTTGGCCTCCCAAAGTTCTGGGATTATAGGCGTGAGCCACCATGCCCAGCCAATGATGAAGTTATTTCTTTCTGTTTCTTAGTTTTCCTTCTAACATTTAGGCCCCTCTGCTGTAGGACTGCTGAGGTCCACTCCAGGCCCTGTTTGCCTGGGGATCACCTGCAGCTGCTGCAGAACAGTAAGAGTTGCTGCCAGTTTCTTTTTCTGCTATCTTTGTCCCAGAAGGATACCCGCCAGATGTCAGTCTGAGCTCTCCTTTATGAGGTGACTCTTTGGATATACTGGGGTCAGGGAGCTGCTTGAGGAGACAGTGTGTCCTTTATAGGAGCTCACATGCTGAGCTGTGAGCTCCATTGTTCATTCAGAGCTGCTGGGCAGGTACATTTAAGTCTGCTGTAGCAAAACTCATAAACCCTTTTTTTTTTTCCCACAGGTGCTCTGTCCTGGGGATTTAGGGCTTTATTTATGAGTTTCTGTTGTGCTGCTGCCTTTTTTTCAGGGCTGCCCTGCCCAGCCAGGAGGCAGCCTAGTCACTGTCTGCCTGCAGAGGCTTTGCTGACCAGCTGTGGGCTCCACCTAGCTGCTATGTGGACTTCCGTGCAGTCCTGTTTATACAAGTATAGTTAGAACTGCCTCAGCAATGGCGGCCCGCCTCTATAATGGCAGACTCTCTCTGTAATGGTGGGCTGCCTCAGCAATAGCAGACTACCTCCATAGTGGTGGACTGCCTTGGTAATGGCAGATGCCCCTCCCCCACAGAGCTTGCTGTGAGAGTCTTAATCCAGAACGTTTCAGATTGCTGTTTTTTTGTGGGGGTGGGACCAGCTGAGCCTGATCACCTGGCTCCCTGCCTCAGAGCCCTTTTTTTTTTTTCAGTTGAACACACGGCTCTGTGTCCCAGGTGTTCCAGTCACCTGTTGAAAAGGAACCAGGATCTGTGTGATTTCCTGTGCAACGACCCACTGCACCAGCTGAAACAGCCACACTGAGATTTGTGGCGCTTTTTTGCCTGGGAATCTCCTGGCCTGGCTCCCTGTTTCAGTCCCCTTTTTTTTATCAGTTGAATGGGTGACTCTGTATCCCAGGAGCTCCAATCACCAGCTAAAATGGCACCCCGACCCATGTATTTTGTGCGTAGAACCATTGCGCTGGCTAAAACGGCCTTACTAGTGACCCGTGAGGCTCCTCTGCCTGGGAATCTCCTGGTCTGTGGGCAATAAAAACCCGTCTGGAAATGTGGCATCAACTCACCCTCTGCGCTTCTGCTGGGAGCTGCAATCCTGAGCTGCTCCTAATCGACAATCTTGGATCTCCGCTTTCTTTTTTTCTTTTCTTCTTTTTTTGAGATGGGGTCTGGCTGTGTTGCCCAGGCTGGAGAGCAGTGGCCTGATCTTGGCTCACTGCAATCTCCACCTCCTGGGCTTAAGCCACCCTCCCACCTCAGTCTCCCAAGTACCTGTAAGTAAGGCACACACCACCATGCCCAGCTAATTTTTGTATCTGTAGAGTTGGGGTTTTGGCTGGACGTGGTGGCCCATGTCTGTAATGCCAGCACTTTAAGAGGCCAAGGTGGGTGGATCACTTGAGGTCAGGAGTTTAAGGCCAGTCTGCCCAACATGGTGAAACCCTGATTCTACTAAAATTATAAAAATTAGCCATCCGTGGTGGTAGGCGCATGTAATCCCAGCTACTCAGGAGGCTGAGGCAGGAGAATCGCTGGAACCCAGGAGGTGGTGGTTGCAGTGAGCCAAGATCATATCACTGCACTCCAGCCTCGGCGTCAGAGTGAGACACTGTCTCAAACAAACAAACAAACAAAACCAGAGATGGAGTTTTGCCATGTTTCCCAGGCCAGTCTTGAACTCCTGAGCTCTAGCGATCTGCCTTCCTTGGCCTCCCAAAGTGATGGGATTCTAGGTGTGAGCCATGGTACCCAGCCCATTTTCTATTTTCTCATCACTGCTTCCAACTTCCTTCAGTTCCTTAGCCCTATCTAGGGCAGATTCATCACTTTGGCGTGGTAAAACTCAGGCCAGCCCTGTTTCAAGCCCCACTCACATATCAGGTTCGCAGTGCTTTACCTCCTCTTCCCAGCACAACTGAGGCACTCACCCTGCTTGCTGGGAGAATGAGGAGATTGGGGAGTGGGCATGGTCTAGTTCAGTGATACCTCCTGCCTCTTTTCTTTTCAAGGCCTCACTTCCTAGCTGCCATGGAGTGGACAGGAGGAATGGAAGGACAAGGAAGAAGGCAGCAGAGGTCTCTTAATGTGGCTGGCTAGAGGTCCAAGGTGAGGAGGCCCCAGATCTGGTTGGACTTGGTTCCATCTACTGCTGCTGGCCTCTGAGGATAGGGTGGACTCTGCACAGATGATGTCCCCTCTATGATGAAGCCCTGCTCAGAAAAGCCAGCCTAGTCTTCCCTGCCCCACCAGGAAATCCAGTTTCCAGTCTCCAGAGAGAGGGCCCCACTGTTTGCTTCGGAGGCCATCTGGACAGTGTATGAGCCCTGCCCTTCCTCTGAACTTTGTGCTTCTTGCTATGGAGACATTGAGGCTCTTCTGCACCTTCCAAGGGTTATGGGAGATTGCCTGGGGTGCCTCTTTCTTGTTCTTCGACTCAGACAAGGTTTTTGAACACTGCCAGCATGGGCTGTGCTAGCGGCTAGACTGCCTTCAGCAATCACAGCGCTCTCAATACTTGATTCCATTTCTAAGACTGTTTCCCAGACTGTTCTCAAACTCCTAAATCTGGGCCACAAGCATGAAAGAAGCTGTGTGTAATTAGTTTGCTTCTTTCCATAGACCTGTTTGTTGAAATGGAGTCTTCTGCTGGCAAATCATCACATAGAAAAAGAGGTGGGTACAAAGGGCCCAGATGGAAAACCTGATGGAAAAAAACAAACTCTTTTTTGGTCTGATTTGGGTAAAAATGATATTCTGAAGCAGAGTGTCAGTTGCAAAGAGATCATTATCTATACTCCCTAAGTAAATATTAAGGGGCGGCCATTGTTTTCATCTTGCTATATACGATTTTCACAGGCTATATACCTCCTGGGGTATTGGAAAAGACATTTTCAACAGAACAATAATCAATGAGAACTATAGTTTACAGCTTTTGAAGCAAAATAAAATGAGACCTATCAAGACACACTAAATCATTTACATCCCTTTTAAAATCAGTAAGAAGGAGAGTACATCCAGGACAATGGCAAATTAGGGGCCTCAAAACACATGTTTTTGGCCAGGTGCGATGGCTCATGCCTGTAATCCCAGCACTTTGGGAGGCTGAGTGGGCAGATTACCTGAGATCAGGAGTTCCAGGCCAGCCTGGGCAACATGGTGAAACCCTGTCTTTACTAAAAATATAAAAATTAGCCAGGCATGGTGGCAGGCACCTATGGTCACAGCTGCTCAGGAGTCTGAGGCAGGAGAATCACTTGAACCCGGGAGGCGGAGGTTGCAGTGCACTGAGATCGCACCACCGCACTCCAGTCTGGGCAACAGAGTGACACTACATCTCAAAAAAAGAAAAAGAAAAAGAAATCTGGTTGTTTAAAAGAGTCAGGGACTTCCCCCTTCTCTCTGTCTTCCTCCTACTTTCTCCATGTGGTGCGCCTGTTCCCCTTAGCCTTCCGCCATGACTGTAAGCTTCCTGAGGGGCTCATCAGAAGCAGATGCTGGCACCAGATTTCCTGTACAGCCTGCAGAACCATGAACCAATTAAACCTCTTTTCTTTATAAATTACCCAGCCTTCATAAATTTCTCATGGCTTACATCCTCCTTTTACCCGGTCACTTCCTCAGAGAGACCTTCTCTAACCACAGCTCTTACTCTGTACTTCATTTCTCTTATTTGTTTATTTATTTATTGAGACAGAGTCCCACTGTGTTGCCCAGGCTGGAGTGCAATGGTTCATTCATAGCTCACTGCAGTCTCGAACTCCTCAGCTCAAGCAATCCTCCTGCCTCAGCCTCCCCAGCAACTGGGACCATAGGCATGAACTACCACACCTGACCAATTTTTTTTTTTGAGATGGAGTCTCAATCTGTTTCCTGAGCTGTAGTGCAGTGGTGATCTCGCCTCACTGCAACCTCCATCTCCCAGGTTCAAGCAATTCTCCTGCCTCAGCCTCCCGAGTAGCTGGGATTATAGGCACAGGCACCCACCACTACGCCCAGCTGATTTTTTGTATTTTTAGTAGAGACAGGGTTTCACCATGTTGGCCAGGCTGGTCTCGAACTCCTGGCCTCAAGCGATCCTCCTGCCTCAGCTTCCCAAAGTGCTGCGATTACAGGTGTAAACCATGAGGCCTGCCACATTTTTCTTCATAGCATGGATTATTATCTGTTTGATTCTCCACTGTCTGTTCTAGGAGCTTACCTCAATGAGGGCAGGACTGCTATATTTTGTTCATCACTATGTCCACGGCCCCAACAGTGCCTGGTGTTGGAGAAATAATCCTTAAAAATAAGGGCCAGGTGCAATGGCTCACACCTGTAATCCCAGCACTTTGGTGGGCCGAGGCAGGCGGATCACAAGGTCAGGAGATGGAGACCATCTTGGATAACATGTTGAAACCCCGTCTCTACTAAAAATACAAAAAATTAGCCCATCATGGTGATGCATGCCTGTAATCCCAGGTACTCAGGAGGCCGAGGCAGGAGAATCACTTGAACCCAGGAGGTGGAAGTTGCCCAGGAGGTGAGCTGAGATCGCACCACTGCACTCCAGTCTGGGCAACAGAGCAAGACTCCATCAAGTCTCCTGCCACTCCAGAAAACTACTCCACAAAGGTACCTTCAGCACAACAGTTAGTATTATTGTTACTGTTTTTTAATATGGAACACTTCACGAATTTACACGTCATCTTTGCACAGGGTCATGCTGATTTTCTCTGTATATTCCAATTTTAGTGCATCTTCTGCAGAAGCAGGCACAGTATAGGTTATTAATATTGCAGGCTGACTAGAATACAATGTGGCCATTAATTTTCACTACTTCCTCTCTGGGTACTGGTGGCCAGGGTACTTTTCCTGCTAGAATCTCATTCTCTGCCTTTCCTGTGGTAATGTCCCATGTTATTCTGTGAGCCTCACTGGCCAGGTAGGGAACACTGGATAGGGAACCTTGCTGTGCTGGAGCTGGCCAGGTGCCCCTCCTCTGTGTCTCTACTTGCCCCGTGTGTTTTCTATCACTCATTTACACACCAGTTGATAGTACTTAGCCCAGGAGGCAGTATATAGTAAACTCTTAGGAAATGTGAACTTAATTAATTCACAAGCAAAACCTTTGAGTTCGTGTCATCTTTCTTTTAGATTGCACTTGTTACCACAATGCTGGGCTGTAGTGTAGACCTCCCTTGCTATCAAACTCATTCTTCCAAAAGGAGAGTACATGGGAAGGTGGAAGGACTTCCCATGTGCCAGGAAATGGTTGGCTCTAATCTTAGAAAATGAACTAGGGGCCAGGCACCGTGGCTCACACCTGTAATCCCAGCACTTTGGGAGGCCAAAGTGGGCGGATCACCTGAGGTCAGGAGCTCAAGATCAGCTGGCCAACATGGCGAAACGCCATCTCCACTAAAAATCCAAAAAGTGGCTGGGCATGGTGATGCATGCCTGTAATCCCAGTTACTCGGGAGGCTGAGACAGAATTGTTTGAACCGAGGAGGTGGAGGTTGCAGTGAGCTGAGATGGCACCACTGGACACCAGCCTGGGCAACAGAGCAAGACTCCGTCTCAAAAGAAAGAAAATGAACTTGGGTTCTTCAGCCATTATTAGAGCCTCGGGAGAACAAGAAATATGGCAGTTGTATCCAGAGACCAACGAAATGTTGTCAAACACGTCTACTAGGGCCTGTCTGACATTTCAACTGCCTGCAAGAACCACTGCCACAGCCCAAAGGGGCCTCAATCGGCCATCCAGCCAGACTCAGTCTTCCAAGGCAGCTGTACCTGCTGTCACACCGTCCAGGAGACAGACGTTCTGTACGGAGGAAATACCAGCAGGCTCACTCAGTACTGAATCCTTGCATAGGGCGCCCTTGATCAGCTACTCTTTTATTAAATGACAGAGTCATAAAGTTTTTTTTCTTTTTACCAAAATGGCATTATTTTTGCCTTTGTGTTACTGTGCAAATGCTCTAAGAAATAGATATGTCTGTTGAGCCTGTTACAAGGACAAATATTATAGTTTTAGAAACCAGGGGCATTGTTAGAACTGTTAGAAACAAGAAAAAACGAAAACACTGGCTGGACAGAAGCGTAAAACTATCTCACCTTTATACTCAGACATTAGAATACCATTCCTGGACTTCACACTTTAGAAAGCCCCATATTGCAAACGTACAGATACAAAATCACTAAAGAACAACAGGCACCTATGGGTTGCTTGGATCTGGTGAGCGGTGCTGGTGCAGCGTGATCCACAGCCTTCAACATGGGCACTTGTGACTAACACTGTTCAGGACCCCTCCTGGGTTCAAGCAATTCTCCTGCCTCAGCCTCCCGAGTAGCTGGGACTACAGGTGTGTGCCACTATGCCCAGCTAATTTTTGTATTTTTAGTAGAGACGGGGTTTCACCATGTTGACCAGGATGGTCTCGATCTCTTGACCTCGTGATTCACCCGTCTCGGCCCCCCAGCGATTTTTGGATTCTTCAGAGGCAAGCACTGACTTAAGATGTGGGAAGATTTTGAGCAGCCCAGGTGCTTGGTAATAAAAAGGACTAATTAATTAGCATGTTGATTCCTACTCTCAGAGAACAGAAATAAATTGATTTTTGCATAACAAAACACATTTCCCCACTTTTTCTTTTTCTTTTTTTCTTTTTTTTTTTTTTGAGACAGAGTCCCGTTCTATCACCTAGGCTGGAGTGCAATGGCGTAATCTCAGCTCACTGCAACCTCTGCCTCCCAGGATCATGCAGTTCTCCTGCCTCAGTCAAATAGCTGGGATTACAGGCGCCCACCACCACGCCTGGCTAATTTTTGTATTTTTGGTAAACACAGAGTTTCACCATGTTGGCCAGGCTGGTCTCAAACTCCTGACCTCCGATGATCCGCCCCCTCAGACTCCCAAAGTGCTGGGATTACAGGTGTGAGTCACCGCAGGCCACATTTTCCCACTGTATTGATTGTCCGATTCCTGATTCTGGAGATACTCCCAAATCAGTGCAATATTTGCAACAGTTGTAAATAATGTTTCGCAGCTGTGCCTGGTAGCTCACGCCTGTAATCCCAGCACTTTGGGAGGCCAAGGCACGAGGACTGCTTGAGCCCAGGGGCTCAAGACCAGCCCGGGCAACATACTGAGACTGTCTCTTCCAAAATTTCAAAGGTTAAATTAAATTAAAATATGTTTTGCAATAGTAAAAACTTCATATTGCTCCTGGATTTAGATAAATTGGATCTAGGCATAACATGTATGAAATGTAATGTCATTTCTTTATGTTGGCAACTAGATGGACATTGAACACCAAAATTGTGGAGAGTTTTGTTTTCTATAAAAATGCTTTTACAGGCATACCTTGTTTTATTGCACTTGACTTTATTGTACTTTGCAGATACTGCATTTTTACCAACTGAGGGTTTATAGCAACCCTCCATCAAGTAAGTTTATCGGCCTCATGCTTCTAACAGCAAGTGCTCACTTCACGTCTGTGTCATGTTTTGCTAATTCTTGCAATATTTCAAATTTCTTCTTTCTTTTTGAGACAGAGTCTTGCTCTGTCGCCCAGGCTGGAGTGCAGTGGCGTGATCTTGGCTCACTGCAACCTCCACATCCCGGGTTCAAGGGATTCTTCAGCCTCAGCCTTCCAAGTAAATGGGACTACAGGTATGGGCCACCTGTAGTATTTTTGTATTTTTAGTAGAGACGGGGTTTCACCATGTTGGCCAGACTAGTCTCAAACTCCTGACCTCAAGTGATCCACCTGCCTTGGTCTCCCAAAGTGTTAGATTAGAGGCCTGAGCCACTGTGCCCGGCCACCAAATATTTTCATTATTATTATATTTGTGATGGCAATCTGTGATCAGTGTCTTTGATGTTCCTATTGTAATTTGGAGGGGCACCAGGAACCATGCCCCTATAGGATGGCAAACTTAAATATTGTAGTCAGACTGCTGAAGTGAAAGGAAGAGGCATGCATCTCTTGCTTTCAATCAAAAGCTAGAAATGCTTAAGCTAAGTGAAGAAGGCATGTAGAAACCTGAAACAGGCCTATAGCTAGGCCTCTTATACCAGTTAGCCAAGCTGTGAATGCAAAGGAAAAGTTTTTGAAAGAAATTAGAAGTGCCACTCCATGGAACACATAAATAATAAGACAGTGAAACATGTCTGGGCATGGCAGCTTGGCTGGGTGCAGTGGCTCACACCTGTAATCTGGGAGGCCAAGGTGGGCAGGCAGGTTACTAGAGGTCAGGAGTTTGAGACCAGCCTGGACAACATGGCAAAACCCCATTTCTACTAAAAATACAAAAAAATTAGCTAGGCATGGTGGTGTGTGCCTATAATCCCAGCTACCCAGGAGGCTGAGGCACAAGTATTGCTTGAACCTAGGAAGTGGAGATTTCAGTGAGACTTGGTTTCAAAAAAAAAAACAAAGTGAAACAGCCTTATTGCTGTTACAAAGGAAGTTTTAGTGTTCTGGATAGAAAATCAAACCAGATACAATATTCCCTGAAGCCGCAGCCTAATCCTCAGCAAGGCTGTAACTCTCTTCAATTCCATGAAGGCTAAGAGAGGTGAGGAAGCTGCAGAAAGAAGTCAGAAGCTAGCAGAGATTGGTTCATAAAGACTAAGGAAAGAAGCCATCTCCGTAACATAAAAGTGCAAGGTAAAACGCAAGTGTGGCTGTAGAAGCTGCAGCATGTTATCCAGATCTAGCTAAGGCCATTGAAAAACAGCCTTACATTGGAAGATGCCATCTAGGACTTTTTTTTTTTTTTTGAGATGGCGCCTTACTCTGTTGTCCAGGCTGGAGTGCAGTGGCACGATCTTGGCTCACCACAACCTCCACCTCCCAGATTCAAGCAATTCTCCTGCCTCAGCCTCCCAAGTAGCTGGGATTACAGGTGCCCACCATCATGCCCAGCTAATTTTTGTATTTTTAGTAGAGATGGAGTTTCACCATATTGGTCAACCTGGTCTCGAACTCCATGATCTGCCTGCCTGCCTTGGCCTCCCAAAGTGCCGGGATTATAGGCATGAGCCACCATGCCCAGCCCCATGTAGGACTTCTATAGCTAGACAGGAGTTAATGCCTGGCTTCAAAGCTTCAAAGGACAGGCTGACTCTCTTCTTAGGGGCTGATGCAGCTGGTGACTCTAAGTTGAAGTCAGTGCTCATTTACCCTTCCAAAAATCCTATGGCACATAAGAATCATGCTAAACTACTCTGCCTTTGCTCTAGAAGTGGAATGACAAAGCCTGGATGATAGCATATCTCATTTGGAGAATGATTTGCTGAATATTTTAAGCCCACTGTTGAGACTTACTGGTAAGAAGAAAAGACTCTTTTCAAAATATTACTGCTCACTGACAGTGCACCTGGTCACCCAAGAGCTCTGATGGAGATGTACAAGGAGATTAATGTCTTCATGACTGTTAACACATTTATTCTGCAGCCCATGGATCAAGAAGCATATTACATTTCAAGTCTTACTCTTCAAGCAATGTATTTTGTAAGGCTATAGCTGCCATAAGTAGTGATTTCTCTGATGGATCTAGGCAAGTCAAAAAACTTCTGGAAAGGATTCATCATTTTATTGTCGTGAAGAACATTCATGATTCTTGGCTGGAGTTCAAAATATTGACATTAACAAGAGTTTGCAAGAAGTTGGTTCCAACCTTTGTGGATGACTTTGAGGGATTTAAGACATCAGTAGAGGAAATCACCACAGATGTGGTGTAAACAGCAAGAGAAACAGAAGTAGAAGTGGAGCCTGGGATGGGTGCAGTGAGTCATGCCTATAATCCCAGCACTTTGGGAGGCTGAGGTGGGCTGATCACCTGAGGTCAGGAGTTCGAGATCAGCCTGACCAACATGGAGAAACCCCATCTCTACTAAAAATACAACAATTAGCTGGGTGAGGTGGTGCATGCCTGTAATCCTAGCTACTCAGGAGGTTGAGGCAGGAGGAGAATTGCTTGAACCCAGGAGGTGGAGGTTGTGGTGAGCCAAGATCACGCCAGTGCACTCCAAGAGCAAAACTCCATCTCAAAAAACAAACAAACAAAAAACAGTGGAGCCTAAAGATGTGACTAAATTGCTGCAGTCTCATGATCAAAATTTTACGGATGAGAAGTTGCTTCTTTATAAATGCACAAAGAAGGTTTCTTGACATGGAATCTACTCCTGGTGAAGATCCTATGAACATCGTTGAAATGGAAACAGCCCCCACTGCTGCTCTGAAAAGCCATCTTTGCATTGTTCCTTGTCTAGCTCCATGCCTCCTCCTCCGTTGTGGAATCCAGCAGCTTTATCACCAGAGTTCCCAAACTCTCACTGTGTTTTTAATCCCGAGTGCTCTACCATGTCAGACGCAGCTGTAGACACTAGCTCCAATGTCACCATCAAGGACTTAAAGGATAAGGGAGTTGCGGAGGGGAAGAAGGGAGTTGTGGAGGAGGCAGAAACAGAAGAGATCCCCTTGCTAACAGGAACGCTAATGAGGAAAATTGGGAGCAGGAGGCTGACAATGAGGTAGAGAGGAAGAAGGTGATGATGAGGAAAAGGTTGGAGATGAAGACGAGGAAGCTGAGTCTGCTACTGGCAAGTGGGCAGCTGAAGATGATGAGGACAATGATGTTGATACCAAGAAGCAGAAGATTGATGAGGACCACTAGATGGCAAAAAAGGAACTAAAAAAAAATGGCTAGGATCTATTCACCCTCCACTTCCCGTCTCAGAATCTAAATGGGGTCACCTTTGAGTAGAGAGGCCACCCACAGATGACACGCACCCTCCACCACCCAACCCAACCACAAGAATTTGCAACAGGGGAGGAAAAAAGAACCGAAACTTCCAATGCCCTGCTTTTTTCCTTAAAAGAACTTTAAATGCAGCCATAAAAATGAATGAGTTCATGTCCTTTGAAGGGACATAGATGAAGATGGACATCATCATTCTCAACAGACTAACACAGGAACAGAAAACCAGATACCACCTGTTCTCACTCATTAGTGGGAAGTGAACAATGAGAACACATGGACACAGGGAGGGAATGTCACACACCGGGGCCTGTCGTGGGGTGGGGGGCAAAGGGAGGGAGAGCATTAGGACAAATACCTAATGCATGCAGGGCTTAAAACCTAGAAGAGAGGTTGACAGGTGCAGCAAACCACCATGGCACATGTATACCTATGTAACAAACCTGCACGTTCTGCACATGTATCCCAGAACTTAAGGTAGAATTTAAAAAAAGACTAAACTTGTTATAGGAATATTACTATGATTATTATTTTAAATTCACCTCCATCAAAAAATACTTTAAAAAGGAAATTTGTATTTTTATTTATATTTTATATTTTTGTACATATTGATAGGGTCAGCCTTTTTTTTTTTTTTTTAAGATGAAGTTTCTCTCTTGTCACCCAGGCTGGAGTGCCATGGTATGATCTTGGCTCACTGAAACCTCTGCCTCCCGGGTTCAAGCAATCCTCCTGCCTCAGCCTCCTGAGTAGCTGGGATTACAGGTGTGAGCCACCCTGCTCTGCCTAGGGTCAGCCATTTTTAATGATCTTGGATGACTAAACCAACCTTGGCAGCATTCTCTGTCCTACTTCTGACTTGACTGGTGGTGTAACGATGTTCATTATAACCTCAAATGAGAAAGAAACGCCTCCCAGGTTGAAGTGATTCTCCTGCCTCAGCCTCCCAAGTAGCTGGGACTACAGGTGCCCAGCACCACTCCCGGCTAATTTTTGTATATTTAGTAGGGATGGGGTTTTGCTGTGTTGGCCAGGCTTATCTCTAACTCCTGACCTCAGGTGATCCACCTGCCTCAGCCTCCCAAAGTGCTGGGATTACAGGCGTGAGCCACTGTGCCTGGCCATTTTATTTTAATAATATGTCACAGTTACCCCAACCTTCATCAGCCACTACCTCAATCAGTTAGCAACCATCAACATCGAGGCAACACCAGCAAAAAGATCATGGCTCACTGAAGGCTCAGATGATTGTTAGCAGTTTTTAGCAATAAAGTGTTTTTTTGTTTGTTCATATTATTATTATTTTGAGATGGAATCTCACTCTGTAGCCCAGGCTGGCATGCAGTGGCATGATCTCGGCTCACTGCAACCTCTGCCTCCCGGGTTCAAATGATTCTCCTATCTCAGCCTCCTGAGTAGCTTGGATTACAGGCAAGCACCACCATGCATGCCTAATTTTTCTATTTTTAGTAGAGATGGGGTTTCACCATGTTGGCCAGGCTGGTCTCGAACTCCTGACCTCAAGTGATCCACCTGCCTTGGCCTCCCAAAGCACAGGGATTACAGGTGTGAGCCACCACACCCAGCCATAAAGTGTTTTTAAATTTACATGTACATTGGTATTGTAGACATAATGTTATCGCACACAAAAGAAAATATTATAGCGGCCAGAAATGGTGGCTTACACCTGTAATCTCAGAACTTTGGGAGGCCAAGGCAGGTAGATCACCAGAGTCAGGTGTTCAAGACCAGCCTCGCCAACATGGTGAAACCCCGTCTCTACTAAAAATACAACAATTAGCTGGGCGTGGTGGTGCACGCCTATAATCCCAGGTACTTGGGAGGCTGAGGCAAGAGAATCGCTTGAACCCAGGAGGTTGTAGTGAGCCAAGATTGCACCACTGCATTCTGGCCTGGGCAACAGGCGTGAGACTTCATCTCAAAAAAAAAAAAAGAAAGAAAAAAAGGAAGGAAGGAAGGAATGAGGGAGAGAGGGAGGGAGGAAAGGAAGGAAGGAAGGAAGGAAGGAAGGAAGGAAGGAAGGAAGGAAGGAAGGAAGGAAGGAAGGAAGGAAGGAAACATTATAGTGTAAACATAGCTTGTGTAAAAAAATTTCTCTTAACTTTGCTGCAATAGTCACGTTATTGCAGTGGTTTAGAATCAAACCCACAATATCTCCAAGGTATGCTTTTAAAATATTTAGTTACATTTTCTCAGTTTTAAGTAATTTTGACTTAAAATTTGATATATAACTTTTATATGCTAAGACATATGTGTGGGCACCAGAGCGATGTTATTTAAATGATAATCTGCCTGCCTGACCCTGAGTCCGAGAATGCCTTCAAAATGTCTAGCTGATATATTACTCTCTAGGTAGGAACATCTGTTCATTTTAAGTTTCACTTTTCCTCCAAGACAATTTCAGAGATGCTGTTGCAAAAATTACAGGTATAGTGATACTTATAGCCGCCTATACATTCCCTCCAGAGCACATATACTTTTTCCCAAGAGATAAGCCCCAGATCTGAGGGGTTGCAGTGCAGAGCTCCACGTGTCTGCAGCCACCCAGGACCATGCTTCTGTGTGTGAATCTACCTGGTAAATCATCCTATGCTGACACACTGGATTTGTCTGCCTTCTCCGGTTTACGGGCTCCTTCAGCATTTGGAGGTTGCTTTGTATATATGGCCCTTTCATGGATCAATGTGCTGTGTGACCATTTATTTATTTATTTAGAGACAGAGTCTTGCTCTGTTGCCCAAGCTGGAGTGCAGTGCAATCTCGGCTCACTGCAACCTCTGCCTCCTGGGTTCAAGAGATTCTTCTGCCTCAGCCTCCTGAGTAGCTGGGACTATAGGCACCCACTGTGCCCAGCTAATTTTTTTGTATTTTTAGTCGAGACACGTTTCACCATTTCTGCCAGGATGGTCTCAAACTCTGACTTCGTGATCCCCCCACTTCGGCCTCCCAAAGTGCTGGAATTACAGGCGTGAGCCACCACGCCGGGCCGTGACCTTCTTTTACACTCATCAGTCACCACAGAAGTTATGGGTAGACTATCTGGGATGGCCATGTGAGGAATTCAGCAGACCTTTCCCTACAAAACAGCCATTGAATTGGTGAAAAGTGTTTGTTGGTTTGTTTGAGACATGGTCTGGCTCTGTCGCCCAGGGTGTACTGCAGTGGTGCCATCTCAGCTCACTGCAGACTTGATCTCCCAGGCTCAAGTGATCCTCCCACCTCAGTCTCCCAAAGTGCTGGGATTACAGGTGTGAGCCACTGCACCTGACCTAATTGATGAAAATTATTTAAATAATAAAAAAATTTTTACCTTGTCCTAAGGACATACAGCAAGTGAAGAAAATTTATTCAAGAAAATCTCCTGAATCTCAGTAAGAATAAAGAGTCAGGGCATCTGAGTCACATCCCAGTCCTATCTTCTAAGCAGAAGATACTTCTCAGGAATCCCAGCTACTTTGGAGGGAGGCTGCTGCAGGAGGAAGCTGTGAGCTCAGAGTTCAAGGCTTCAGTGAGCTATGATTGCACTACTGCCCTCCAGCCTGTGTGGCAGAAGGAGACCTTGTTTTGAAAAACAAAAACAGCACAACTGGAAAGTCAGTTTTCCCTAAAACATACACTTCTCTGGATCCCACATGTTGCCCAGGCACAAGCTACGGCAGCACTGGGCTGGAAACTGAGAACCAGGAAACTGGGGCTCTAGATTATGCTGCCACACCAGCTGGCCTCAAGAGATCTTCAAGTTCAACCTGCCCCTAATGTGGTGAGAGGCACAGATTGTCCACAGCAGCTCAGCTTGCACACAGGAGCTCAACTGGATTTCCATGCCCTGTGGAAGGCAGCGAGCAGCGGCAGCCAGTGCCTTCCTCAGAACTTAGGGCACAATGAAAGAGTTACTCTGTTTAGTCACACCAATGCTGTGGGTAAGAAAGTGCCTTTCACTGTGCACTTATTTACATAGTGTTGCAAGCAGGTACCAGGATATAGGAATATAATTGTACATGTCAAGTGTGTCAGGGAACTCAGGATAAGGGGCCAATTAGGACCAAGAGTTATGACTTGATACAGGTCGATTCAGAAAATGTTTACAGAGTTAACACATGAGCATCTATAGGTTAGGCACGGTGAGAGAGAGAGAGAGAGGCTGGGTCAGTACTAACAAATGTTTCTCCTTGCTACCGGCCCACACCTTGGAATAGTGCTGGCTTACAGTGTATGGTAGGGGACAAAGGAAACCATCAGTCGTCTGTGTTACTCTCAGCTGTTCAGACGTATGTTAGTGCCTTTTTCGTCTTCCTTAAGGAAGGCAGTTTAATTATTTACCAGTGCCTGCCATGGGTGAAGGCCAAGAGCTTTCACGATTTCAGTACAAAACCGAAAGCAGTGCATTGGGAGAAATGCACACTGCCAGGTGAGAACAGCAAGCGCAGGTCCCAAAAGCCTCCCCACAGTTCAACACCCTAGACACAATATATGTTTTTTTATTTTCATGGACCATGTTGAAGTTGTTCCGTGAAAGACACAATATTTTTATAAAATTACTAACTCACAGTACTTTATGGAGGGCTGCTTCTCTGAATTTTTTAAGTTTTCTACAAATGGTCTTGAAATTTTTCCTCTGTAGTGTACTTTTTTCCCCAAGAATGATGTGGGTTTTGTTTTGCATTGCTTCAATCAAGGTAGAGTGAATAATTTCTCCAAGGTGCTACTAAGCAGTGGGTGAGAATGCAATCACAGTCACTCAGCCTACAGTTGGGATGAATTTCAAAATGCCTCAAGGCCTGTTTGAATCTTTTCTGCAATGCTGTATTATTTTCAATAAACCTGGGACAAAAAGGCCAGGCGCGGTGGCTCACGCCTGTAATCCCAGCACTTTGGGAGGCCAAGGCGGGTGGATCATGAGGTCAAGAGATCAAGACCATCCTGGTCAACATGGTGAAACCCCATCTCTACTAAAAATACAAAAAATTAGCTGGGCACAGTGGCGCGTACCTGTAATCCCAGCCACTCAGGAGGCTGAGGCAGGAGAATTGCCTGAACCCGGGAGGCGGAGATTGCGGTGAACTGAGATCGCGCCATTGCACTCCAGCCTGGGTAACAAGAGCGAAACTCCGTCTCAAAAAAAAAAAAAAAAAACCTGGGACAAAAAAAAAATCACAGCCAGGTGTGGTGGCCTGTGATCCCAGCACTTTGGGAGGCTGAGGTGGGAGAATCACTTAGGTTCAGGAGTTGAGACCAGCCTGAACAACATACTGAGACCCATCTCTATTTCTCAAAAAAAAAAAAAAAAAGCAATCTCTAGGTTGGTTGGGTCTGGACCCCCAAGCCAGTGGCTGACTGCGTGATCTTGGGCTGGCAGCTTGTTCTTGGAGGCAGTTTCCTCCACTGTAGCATGGGGCTGATGACCGTACCCAGCCCCTAGAGTGGCTGTGAGGGTTCCACGAGTGCCTGCGGACTCCCCAGTGCCCTGGCAGAGTGAGCCCTCCTACGTGCTGGTCATTGTTATAATGGTCTCGATTTCAGATGAGAAGGAGGGAAGATTGAGCTGAAGTGTTGAATGTGGTGTCTTCACGATAATCCCACAAGGTAGACAACTGCTTTTTCCATGTATATGGAGGCAGATAGGTTAAGTAACCTTACCACAATTGCATATAATGTGGTTATATTTCTCATAAAGCTTGACATTCAAGTATTGGCTTCAGAGACAAAGGAAAGACAAATGAAAGTGTTTGAACAACAGGAGTTTCCCTTCCTTCAAGCCATGCCAGCCTATAAGCCTTCATAAAGCAGTGAAGGCGGATCCTCCCTCCCCTGGCAGAGACTGATAAACTCAGCACTCGCCGGAGTGGCTCATTGTTAGCACAAAAGGTGTGCACTTCCCGCAGGCAAACCGGAGTGGTGAGTCTCCCTGCTGCCCACATCAAGGCCCCAGGACATGCAGAACCCGCCTCTAGAGCCCGACCCACCACCATGAGGTCCTGCCGGTGGAGATGCAGCTACCTGAGGCAAGGCATCCAGTGGTCCTTGCTCCTGGCTGTCCTGGTCGTCTTTCTCTTTGCCTTGCCCTCCTTTATTAAGGAACCTAACACAAAGCCTTCCAGGTAAGATTCTCACCCTTTCCACTCCTCTGGTATCATTCATTAGAGGAAACCGAAAACCGATAGTGCAGGGAGGACTGGGGAAGCCTGAGCCACCTCTGTGTCCACATGGGAGTGTCAGGTTCAGGAATGTTCTCAAGAACCACTGGGAAGAAAGACTAATGGAAAGACTTGCAGGGAACAGAAGAAGTGGCAGTGGGGAGCCAAGAGGCCATGGGATATAAGTGTCCAGATACCATGGGTCGTGTACAGGAGTTTGAGAACTGATGGGTTAGGTCTGCAGAGTGCAGACAGAAGACATGCCTGCTTTCCCCTCAGGGAATGTGAGTAATGACAGCAGCTTTGGGTTAGTTCTTACATGCCGTTCTCTATGTCCTGAAGCGAAAGAGCCATCCTGTGTGTTCCACTTGTTTCAGACCCGGATCCACCCTAAGTTTGTCAGTAAAATGGAGGGCCTCCCTCTTAGGGAGGCAGTTTCAATTGTGTGGACGCCAAGTTAATCCTTCAAAAAGACCTTCTAGACAATTTTTCTTAGAAAATACACACATCTCCAGCAGTGAGAGGCCCTTTTCTTTTTGTTCGAGTGGAGTCTCACTCTGTTGCCCAGGCTGGAGCTCAGTGGCATAATCTCAGCTCTCTGCAACCTCCACCTCCCAGGTTCAAGCAATCCTCCTCCTGCCTCAGCCTTCTGAGTAGCTGGGATTACAGGCGCACACCACCAGGCCTGGCTAAGTTTTTGTATTTTTAGTAGAGACGGGGTTTCACCATGTTGGCCAGGCTGTTCTTGGACTCCTGACCTCAAGTGATCCACCCACCTTGGCCTCCCAAAGTGAGCCACCGTGCCCAGCCAGTAATTTCATTTCACTGTTTTTAAATGTTGAAAGTAATGCAGGTTTTCACAGAGTTACAAAGAAAATACAGGTCTCCACCTCTATGCACTCTTCAAAGTGAGCACTCTTGATACTTGAGGGCACATGGAATTCTATTATTATGTAGCTAACGCTGCTATCGCGTTTACTATGTGCCAGCCCCTATTCTAAATGCTTGATGTACGTTAACTCACTAATTCTCATTATTAGGCGGACACTGAGACACAGAGAACTGAAATGAGTCTCCCAAGATCACCCTCTTAGTATGTGGCAGGGCCAGGATTCAAACCCATAGCCTGTGCTCAGTACCTTTATGCTATACAAGCCAGATAGATAGATAGATAGATAGATAGATAGATAGATAGATAGATAGATAGATAGGCAGATAGATAGATACAAAGATAGGCAAATAGAGAGATAGGCAGATAGATGGATAGAGAGATGGAGCTATAGATATTTATAGTATATAGATATATACATATAGATATATGTACACTATATACTGATATATATACTATATGTTAAGTAGCATGAGAGATATATGTATATGTTGATATATAATATATATCTCAATATATAGTGAGAGATACATGTATGTATAGATATATAAGATCTGGATATATTCATACATATATATCATATAGATATACATAGATATGCACAAGACAGCTGTATGTATACATATATATGTGTCTCATGCTACATATTGTGCCACAGGTTGACCTTGTAAGTCATACTATATCACAGACATCATTCCATGTCGGGACATACGGGTCAACTCCCTTCTTTTAACAGTTGCTTAGCTTTCCACAGAGTAGTCACCGTTTACTTAACCAATCCCTGTCACGTCTCTCACATACCTTTGACCACTTGTGTAAGTGATGTCTGGGTAGATTTCTGGAAGTGAAATTGCCAAGACGATGGATATGTTTACATGAAATGTCCGTGGACACCATTGAATTGTTCTCTCAAAATGCTTCACCAACAGGTGTGAGAGTTAACTTTCTTCACCCACTATGAGCACACTGGCTTTCATTAAGGTTTTTAAGGTTTAATCAGCTGATAGGTGAAAGTGTTTCTCTTTTTAATTTGCATTTCTCAGATCACTGATGAGTTTGAGGATCTTAACTTTATTAGTCATTTGTATTTTTCTATGAATAACCTGTTCATATCTTTCTTCTTTTTTATTAAGTTATTTATCTTTTTCATACTTACAGGAGCTTTTTGTGTATTAGGGACATTAACCTTTTTTATCATGTATTACAATATTTCGAATGTCTTCTTCAGCCTGATATTTGTTTGGTTTTATTTCATTGTTCATGATATGTTATAAGAAGTAATTGTTACATCAATAAAATTTGTCTATCTTTACTTTATGGTCACTGGACTTTGCAAGATTCGTAGGAAGGTCAGTCCCACCCCCAACATTATATATATTTTCTTCTGCACTTTCTACTAACATGTCTGTACTTCTGTTCTTTAAGCTTAGTAAGAATCCATCAGCAATTTACTTTTGCGCATAATGTGAATATAGGTTTGTATTTGTTGGAACTCTAGATTGCAACTGACAAAAACCCAACTTAACCTAGCTTAGCTAAGAAGACAGGGGAGGAGGGAAGCTCAGGGGACTGGAGTTCTCCCGGAGCCATGTTTTAGGGTGGGAATGCACTGCCCGAGAATCACTCATAGTGACCTGGCCTGGCCGCCTCAGCAGACGCCACATGCCCTGGAGTTAAGGGGCAGATGTTAAGTAGAGTGGCGTCTGGTTCTGGTCTAGAGATTTCTGAAGGCACAAAGTTGTTGGAACTGTCGGTGATGTACCTGGGAAGAGACGGAACCACCCTGCCCCTCCCAGGTCTTCACAGCCCAGAGGCCATGGAAGGAAGTTCAGCACTTCCTGATGGGAGAGCAGGAAGCAGACCCCTCAACTGCCCAGTTACCTGCTGAGCAATAACAAACAGTGTTTGGGGTCGCCAAATGTTGCAGGGGGCAGTGGGAGACATGACCTAGAAAGGACCCTCCTGTGGGGATTCTCAATGTGAAGGAGGACCACCGAGTCAGCAGGGGCCCCTGACATCAGACAGAAGCTGAATGAACCTCAGGGCGGGCAGGGACTCCCAGCCCCACCGTCCACGACAGGAGCTCACTGAAGTAAGAATACCAGAGGCGTTAGGGCTTGAAAAAAGAGGGGGAGTTTTCTCAGTGCCTGACTATGACTCTTGCTGCCCCCCTCTCTCCAGCTCCCCTAATCTCCCCCTCATCTCACCCCCACATCTCCCACCCCTATCAGGCCAGAGTCTGAGCTCTGGGCTGGGTAGGTTGGGGAATAGAAGAGCTTAGAGCCAGGTAGAGCACCTAGTGCGTGTGTGTGTCTATCATGCAATTATATGAATTTGTGAAATTACATGAATTATGTAATTTCTTTTCTTTTATTTATTTATTTTTTAAATTTTTCTTTGAGACGAAGTCTTGCTTTTGTCCAGGCTGGAGTGCAGTGGCGTGACCTGGGCTCACTGCAACCTCTGCCTCCTGGGTTCAAGTTATTTTCCTGTCTCAGCCTCCCTAGTAGCTGGGATTACAGCTTCTCCTGGCACCACGCCCAGCTAAGTTTTGTATTTTTAGTAAAAACAGGGTTTCACTATGTTGGCCAAGCTGGTCTCAAATTCCTGACCTTGTGATCCGCCCACCTCGGCCTTCCAAGGTGCTGGGATTACAGGTGTGAGCCACCGCGCCTGGCTATTTATTTATTTTTCAAGACAGAGTCTTTGCTTTGTCACCAAGGCTGGAGTGCAGTGGCTCAATCTTGGCTCACTGCAACCTCTACCTCCCATGTTCAAGCAATTCTCCTGCCTCAGCCTCCAGAGTAGCTGGGACTACAGATGCGCGCCACCACGTCTGGCTGATTTTTGTATTTTTAGTGGAGACAGGGTTTCACCATGTTGGCCAGGCTTGTCTCGAACTCCCGGCCTCAAGTGATCCACCCCCCTCAGCCTCCCAAAGTGCTGGGATTACAGGCGTGAGCCACCGCGCCCATCCAGCAGGTCATATTTGTCTGTGTTTCCTCAGAGCTTTGAACAGGCAGGCCCTGGACCCAGTGGAGGTGCTTTACAAATGCTTGTTGATGAAAGACTGAATTTGTCACCTTAAAAAAATGCCAAAGAAAGAAAATAAAATAAACAAACAAACAAAAAACATGCCAAAATGTTTAAACTTTATTCAATGGCTATCAAAAACTTCAGAATAAGGGAGTCAACTTGATTAAATTCATGATTTATGCAGAGTACTCTGTCCATAGATTCCAGGACGGATGATATGGGGAACGTGGTTTTAGAGGGGATGGTGTAGAGGCCATTGCAATAGGATAGCGTTCATGAGACCGTGGCAAGGACAGTGTGAATCGGAAGAAAGGATGGAGAAGAAGTCAGATCAGCTGGACTTGGCAACAAATAGGACGGTGGGAGGAGTGTAGAAGAACTTCAAGACAGTTTTAAAGGCCAGCGCGGTGGCTCACGCCTGTAATCCCAGCACTTTGGGAGGCCGAGGCGAGCGGATCATGAGGTCAGGAGATCGAGAGCATCCTGGCCAACCTGGTGAAACCTGGTCTCTACTAAAAATACAAAAATTAGCTGGGTGTGGTGGCACACGCCTGTAATTCCAGCTACTCGGGAGGCTGAGGCAGGAGAATTGCTTGAACATAGGAGGTAGAGATTGCAGTGAACTGAGATCTTGCTACCACACTCCAGCCTGGTGACAGATTGAGACTCTGTCTCAAAAAAAAAAGTAAAGTCTTTTCCCCTCATAACTTCTCCAAGATTGATCTGTTTCACTACATCTTGAACATGGAACCAAATCTTAACTGCTGGGGGCACAAGATGGAGAGGGAAACAATTAAATAACATTCCAAAATAGTATATAATTACATTCAATACATACAGCCAGAAAGGGATCTGGCTGTCTATGCCCTGAGGTGCTAACAGTAGATTCTTTGAAGGGACTGGGATAATGGGAGGTTGCTATCCTTTCATGTTTGAAGGCATTTTCTGCTTTTTCTTAATAAGCACACATTGCTTTTCTTTTTCTTTTTTTTTTTTTGAGATGGAGTCTGGCTTCTATCGCCCAGGCTGGAGTGCAATG